TGCCAGATTTTTCGATTCGTAGTTCCCATAGTTTCTCAGAACAGCTTCAGTAGATGTAGACTCATACGCACACTGTTTCGATGTGATGCGTCATTGGTTTAGTTGAATTAAGGAATGAGAGAAGTGCATATCAGTTGTTTCATTTGGCTCGTGGCGATGCATTTGTATTTCATTTCTAAGCTACAGACGCAGGCGGAGCACTCCGTACAGATTAGGTATGGGATTCATCAGTACAGCCTTCCTGACTTCTAAGACAGAACTTGGTTTTAGACGAAGGAGAAGATGAGGAAAAGGGCCTGCTTGAAAAGATCAATTTGTAAGTTAGCAGAAACGAAAACCTTACGGCGACCCGAAGATCTCCGATTTATTGCAGAAATTTGAGTGCAGTCAAAAAACTTTCATGTTTGAAACTGCATGAAATTTGTTTTATACTAAAAAGTGTAGATGTGCCCAGTTGATAGAGCATCAGGAAATCCTTGCGAAAAGCTGACAGTAATCGAAGTCGCAACACTGTAAAAGATAGATATATGTAGGAGTGAGTCTCGCAAATACATAACAGACTAGCCACAGCTGTATGTACGGAGCACATCAGTTGTGAGGTAACATTTCACAATCGGAGGGAACAGTGAAAAAGTGAGGTTCGATTCCGTTTCTGCTTTCCCATATTGTTACAAAAAAAAACCCCTATTTGCGGTGTATGTATGTGTTGTTCGTTTCTCAGCTGGCTTTTTACTGCTGAAGCCTTTTTTCGGTTCATTTTAGGCTTGGGGTTTTGCGTTTTCAAACGCACTTTTTTCTAATCAGATTGTATATTGGTTTATGACACTTCCCTTCATCCGGGCTATTACGCTATAATACGATGTGTTGCACGGAACCGTACAACCGATATCAGTCGGGAGCTACAACGGTTAATAAATCTGCCAGAATTACAGCCCCTCTCAAAAATTACTCATTCGGGAACTAGCACACAGGAAATAAGCTTTTCCAGTAATTGGCTCCTTCCCTGTTGTGCATGGGTCAGTATGGTTTCGGGTAATCACAATCGGACTTTTCAAGGCTAGCACTTACCCGGTCGTTTGTCTGCGGTGTTTTTTCTCTGTTTTTCGCCTCTATTTATTTAACTGATATTCGGTTTTTTAAAAGGCGCTTTTTCACTCAACAGCACTTCTGCTGTGATCACTATGCGTGTATGAATTACGTAAAAATTTCTAACGAACTGAGTGGTTTTTTTTTTCAGTCTCTTTTCACTTTTCTGTATAGCTGATCTACGGAAGCACTGAAAGAGAGGACT